TATTTATATCTATGATTTTTATCGTATCTAATATATTAAAATGAAATTATGTTCATAAATCCCACAAAATCTCAAGAAATACTGGTCCGATTTGACTAATTTTGAAGTCCAGGGAAGATCAGAAAACTTTCGTTAATTTTGCGGAATAAATTCGCAATTGAATGCCGCGGGTCATCAAGTAAAATATATTTATTAAATTGTAAAATATAAGAAAAGTTTCTTAAGCACATATGTATGTAAAGATATAGTTTTCGTTAACCAAGTTTAGTGATGCATTTTATCACTGTTGAGTATTTGCGGAAAAACCCGTGGCCGTATTTATGTTTAAAAAGTTTATTTCTTTTTTATGTGTGTTAGTGGCACACTTAAAGGTGAAAATTCTTTGTTTAACTTTTATAGAGCTCGTCATGTACTGTGGAACGTGAAATATTCAGCGTTAAATCAAATCGAACCAAAGTAACTTAACATCGGTAGAGTATCAACACGTTAATAATTATCATCATGTTAAATATTGTTGCTTAATTTGATGTTTTTTTTTTATTTTTTTGGAAAAACCTTCTTGCTCCACACTAGGATTTTCTCCTGTGACGTGAGTTTGTTGAGTTTACAAACATACAAATTCACATACACAGGCCACCCAGACCCGAAACAATTTTTTTTTTAATTTTCTATTTACACGACTGTCCAAAAGAAGAGTGTTATGTTTTTGTATACTCAATATTGCATTCCACAATTTGACCTTAGGTGGTGGGGTACATCCGTAGGTACATAGGATATGCATACATCAGTTATATAGTTTATATATTACTTTCTTTTAGTACATCTATAGCACCTTGTCCTAAAATAATTGAGCTATAGAAATATTAATGATTAAACTAATTATAATAAAAAATACTCTTATTTTTTATTTCATTAAACATATATTTTAGGTTATTTTATTTCAAACTAGGCGCCCGGCCCTTTTTCGTAGGGGTGTCAAACTATTTTCACCATTTAACCTCTACTTTTCCATTCTTTTTTCATAAAAAACAATTAGTTGACAAAATAAGAATTATCAAAATTGGTCCATGCGTTGTTGAGTTATGCGCTTACCAACATATTTTGCTATTCATTTTTATATGTATAAGTATATATAGATATATATGTTTATGATGTGAAAATGTAGTTTAATATCCGTCCTTATTTATTTACGCTAGTGGCCCAGCTACGCATTGTCACGTTCTGCTGACGAGGACTGTGATAAAACGCGACCGTTTCTCAGAACATATCAATTAGCTTCCTCTCAATAGACTAATCGCTGTAAACACGTTCTAGTAGTTCAAAAACATATATTTATTTATTCAAAATAAATATTTATTCAAAAACATATATATAGACAGGTGAGAAATCGGCGCCTCTCACCGTCACCTGCAACCCAAGAGGAGTGCGTTGACGGAGTTTTCGGGCGTTTAACATTTGAGGATTACGAGATTGGAGTAAAGGGGAGGATAGGAATACAGGTAACCTCACTCACACGGAGAAACAGAACTTTTCGTGCCGGGGCACTATATCTACTAATACATTTTTTAAGTTATAGGTAACAAAAAGCACCTATATGAACTGTATTTTTTCTTAAGTAGCTGGTCAAAGTATTACACTCTGTAAATATGACATGAGCGCAACAATATCACATTATGAATTTCATTTGAATTCTTTTTTCAAAGAGTATCTCGAACGGATTTGAATATTCTTTTCTTTACCTCGTCCTTCGACTGACACAAACTAAAAATAAAAATTTGTTATAGGTGAATTACTTGAAACGGTCTTTGTGAGAAATTCAGAGTCAAAAGATCAGATGAGGCTGAGAATTCTGAAATGCAATAACCTTAGCAGTATTTATTAACATGTATAAATTGACTCGTTCAAGACAACACGCGAGGCGGCCATTAAGGCGTTATGTAAACTTAGAACGGGAATGGTTTCCTATTATTCTTCTGCCCATTAGCCCCTATGCCGATAGTAATAAAGTAGCTATTATGAAATAAGTTATTAACAACATTGCAATTGTACTACACTCTTAGTCTCGATTTAGTTCGTTTTATTTATGCCGTATTCACAGGTGTTGCTAAAAAATATAGAAAAAAAAATAACTGCGTCGACTTGATGTTACAACTTCAAAAAACGTTGCCACACCTATCCATGTTAAAAAATGTTCTAGAATTCTAAAACTAAGACGTAGCAGCCGCTTTCATCCTTCGACGAATACAAAATTAAGTTAGTGTTATTTAAACACAACTTAAACTCTAACTGATTATGTAACATTGCGACTACCTCCATGTTTCTTCACGACATCAGTGACCAACGAGCGGCTAGATAAAACTAGTTCTATCCAGTTAATTTGAAATAACGACGCATTATTTTTAACATGTTTCATCCGCACTAACCGCGGCTCCGTGTGGTATTAATATAAAACGTTTAATTGGCTCGATACAAATCGCTTAAGTAACTTTAATGTTTGCCAGAGGATTTCATGCGATAGATCAATGTCATCGTTAAAAATAGTTGACACTTACGTACTTAGTTCAATAGAGAATAATTATACGAATAAGTGTTCTATTCTCAGACCAGCAACGTTATTAAATTATGAATTTTCATCATCGCTGGTACCATGTTTTCGCTCAATTCGACACTAATTAGGACCTTAAACAAATTTCCCTGCACTGACATTGATGATAAGTTACCAACCCAACCTTGCAGATATAAAACGAATTCAAAATAACAATTTAATTATTGAATTTAAGAACGCCCGATAAGATTGGAGAAAAGCCTTCGAAAATACATGTTCATTCTTAGCGGTTTCGAAATCGCAGACAGAACGTAAACACGTCCTCAGACATCGTCACCCCACTTACGACACACGCTGTATAATAACATAGACCTGTATTCCAACTATGTTACACAAAGGACACAGTGACAGGGATTGTTTCAACATAGTATGCAAAATAATTAAACAGGCTCTTCCGATACTTAGGATTTCCCTAAACCCATAACTAATAAATAACCTTAACAAAATATTGACAAAAACATTTTTACAAAAATTACATTTCTTACAAAATGTATAAAATAAAACAAGACCCGAAAAGCTCTTAGTCAATGTTGGATAAAAAAATATATGTCCATTCATTTTTTCCCCGAACAAATTCTTGGGACCATTTACAAATGATCCACACAGATTGTTATGTAGATATATATGTATAGTTATATTGATGATTGTAATTAATTTATTTACAACGGATTTGTCAGGTTTCACCAAACGTTTTTTTAATAATTAATTACTTCAAAATTTAGGACAATGCCTTTAGTCTTTTGGCTGTTTTGTTAAATAAATGTAAAACATATACGGTACACGTATCGATGTTTGAATGGATTCTCAGTTCAGTATATAGAAACATTTTTATTGGACTTTATTGGACTTTGACTCAAATGAATAAAAGACATTCTAGTAATTGCCCTCTTTCCGTATCTTACACCTGACAAAATAGTTTTTATCCTTACACAGTGAATCAAGGCTTCCGTATAACCAATTTGCCAGTAAATCTATAACTTATTCTATTTAACATTGAATTTCTTGATCGAATCAGGATTTTATTAAAAACTCAGCTGCTAATTTTTCAAACACTTGAATAAGATCTACAAAAAAAGTATTTACGTTTTTATAAGACTCATACAAAGTTGTGTTCATTTTTCTGCCAAAACGTAAAATGGGAGCTTTTAGCGACATCTAGTATACGTTATGTAAAACTGAATCTACTGATACAATTAATTAATTTACTTAAACGATTTTAAAATTGGTTTTGACTGGATGTGATCTCGTAATGTTAATTTTGTGTGTATTTATTGTATTAATAGATGGCCGAACATTATGTAGGTTAATGGGTAACTTAAAATTGTCTGTAAGATTTAATTGATCCAAATCGATTTAGGTATAATAACGCGGGGCTGCTTGTATTCACGCTCGTGTCATATTTTTGCAATTTTTTTGTATTCCTTTTGTAGTTTAAACAACAGCCTGCTATAGTACTGTTCCCTTCTAAAATGAAATTTTATTGTATTCCTTATAAAATATGTACCTAAGTAGGTTACTTTTAAGCTACATAAGAATCTAGTCAAAAAGTTCAAATAAACCAATATTAATATAGAATATAAAACCAAGTTTGTCTGTTAGAAAATACAAGTGATAATAGTAACTACATATTTACACATAGATACTGTACATATCTGAATGTTTGTAAATTTATCTGTTATTGTTACATTAATTAATTGTTACTTAATTAAATGCTTGTGTGTACAAATTCTGTAACGGCCGATATTCACGTACTCGATATTACAAGAGTGTTCCGCAAACAATAGGTACTCAGACGCATTTTTTTAAATCCACCGAACATTTAAAAAAAATAATGAATGATTACAGTTACAAATTAACAAATTTTTATTTATTCCAATTTTAATTCCACCTCCTTGTAGTGTTTACTTTAAAATGGGTTTATAAACCCCTACCGCCATTATCGTCGATAAAAAAATAAACATAACTGATATGGAGCCCCACCATTTTTCCTTCTAAGAAGACTTCATATAAAATAATATCTAAATGAAAGGAGAAATACAAGAACGATTTGCAAAAGTCTTCTTTCCGTGAATAGTTAAAAATCTCAGCGGCGGACGCTGCATATTTACAAATACCGACAAAGCTGTTAACCTTAGCAGTACAACGTGCACAATCTGTAGGTAATCCAACTCATACAGCCGAGTCTGCAGAACGCCAATGCATAATCTGCGAGTAGTTTCGCAGATCGCGCAAGGTGGTGAAGGCATCCGAACACGGCGCCGCGACCGCACTCCTTTCAAGGAGGTGCAGGTCTTTTGGAAAGTAACATCGAAACAATATCATCCACTTCAGACGTAAACTCGCAAGAGCAGACAGTCGCTGTGCCTGGTAAAAAAACAAAATAAATCTGACTTACCTATTGAAAAATTTCAGAGGTATAATCCGCTGCGGATTCCTTGTCGGTGCTGTCTCGTGCCAAGAGAGTAGTCCGGTTTTGCATTCACGTACCGAAGCACGATCACACTGCGTGAGAGAAAGGGCGCGCAACTCGTTCACAAGTGAACACTATCGCGTGTTGTTCCTCGGCGGTGCGATGCGAGAGTGGGCGTCGCGAAAGCGTGTTGGCGTTCGCGGGTCTCAGCTTGAACTGAAGGCCGCGAGGTGCGGGGGCCACTTTATGGTAGTGCGCGAGCGCACCCCGCCTGCGCTGCGGCGCCCGCGCAGCCGTGCAGCCTGCACCCGCGCCGCAATGACCGCTCCTGAAAAATTAATTAATCAAACTCCTCCTTATTGTTGTTTTCCTCGTAATTGTTGATTTGATAATTCGTCCATTATGACAACATCAACAAGTTAAGATTTTCCTGAAAACGTTGACGATAATCCGCGTTTATCTGTTACGTTCGCGACAATTCTAGAAATGCGATCGTTGTCGCCCAATGATATTTGCAACAAGGCTCAACGCAATAGTTAGTAAACTGAAGGAAATTAAGCAATTGATAAATACGAGAAAGAAAACTATGTAAAATATGGGAGTATATAAGAAGACTGAATTCAAATTATTCTCAATCCCAAACCCATTCTTTCAATTACGTCAACATTTTAATTATAATTATTTAAGATTTATACAGGCACGTAATTATTATAATAATGCAGTCACTATCAACAAGACGAGAAACATTAAAACAGCAATAATATTTGTCACACATTCCGTATTTGATTAATATTTTTAACCGTATGACTAAGGATATAACAGTTCTGGATAACTGAAATAATTCCATGCCAAATGTGGTTACCTACGTACTGTAGGTATAATACAAATGTGCAATAAAATAAGACTAATTATTGCAAAAAATTGTGTAATAAATGAAATATACCTTCAGCCCATGTTTTCCAACTTTAACGACAACAATTAGAAAAATAACAATTAATCAACAAACTAAAAATAGCTATTATACATATTCAAATTCTTAAAAAATGCCTGTCTATGATATTTTTGTCATACCTACCTATAATCCTAATGTGGAAGACACTGGTAAGTAGCGATTATCTTAATAAATAATAATAAAAACGTGTAGGTACTTACTGTCTGATGTAGTATATCTGCCTATATAATTTAAAATAGGATTTACTGTAATGTTGGATGCTAGACAATGGCTTCAACCCACAAAAGTTACAAAGACAAAATATAAGTCGACGTCAAATTTTGAAAAATCTTATATAATAGAATTCCGTTTCTCGTCGTAATTTTCTTACTACTGTTAGATAAGAAAACATAACACTTTTATATAAATTATTTTTATTGTCATTGTCCATTAAAAAGTTCTTTATAAGTCATCGCTTCGCTAATCAGCGTCTGAATGTTACAAGTAGGTAGAGGAAAATTCAATGTTTAATGAATTCTACTAAAGCGGTTCTGGAAAAGTCCGCGGTTAACCTTATCTAGTAGCGGTTTACGTTTGCGTTTTGAATACTTAATGCTTCATTGAGACGATTTAAAAAATATTAGCATTTATTGAAAACACCCAAACATTATTGAAGATATTTTAGAAATTTTTCATGCATCATTATAATAACTTTATTTTATATAGCCACATTAAATAAAATTAACTCCCTTGATGTAGTAAGTAATCAAAAGCATCAATTAATGGTCATTTGTTTCCAACTTATCAGAAGTATGGGAACATATCTTAAGATGTCTGAATTGATCTAAATTTAAGACAAAAAACTATATGACTCAGTAAATATTTGGATTATTCCTACTGTTGTAAATCTAAATAATAGTAGTTCTACAACAATTTCAAGACATATAAATTTAATCAGCAAAAACTCATATGAATGTAAGATATGAGACTAAATTTAATTTGTAATGTACGACAAAAAATTTTACTTAAAAATTCGTGACATTCACCATGAAGCCGCGTCTCTAAGAAATCCACTCTTGCAAAATCGTAAACACATTGATCGTGATGAAGTGATTAATTCAATTAACGACATAGCATATTTACTTTATTACCAGAAAAATCTAAGATTATCAAAAATTGCGGTACGATTCGGGCTAATTCTGATAGCATTTAGTTTCTGAGCGTGTCGCTTTCTGGTTATAACTCGGTTTTAATGACCATCTCTTCTCAAGAGGGCCGGTGATCCACAGGGCATGCGGGTCAAGTGCAAAATGGTAACGCAGCCCCGGCAGGGCAAGGAGCAGTCTTTAGTCAGTAAAAATCTGACACTCCCTCTTGCCTTACCCTGGGCAAGAAAAGTCTTTTGAAGGCCGGCAACGCGCATGTGACTCCTCTGGTATTGCAGGTGTGGGCGGCGCTGATCGCTTACCATCAGGGGATCCGTACCCATGTTTGCCTCTTTTTCCATAAAACAAATAGCTCCTTACAAAAGAGGTAATTTTGTTGAATGGATAATTTAATAAGTAGGCTGCGACATATTATTATAATAATAAAAATAAAATAATAATGATGTAAACTAATACCAAAATATATAAGATTTCACTTAAAATAATACAGTCAGTGATTAAGATATGTGACAAAAATCTAAACCATGTATGTACTATTTAATTTTATACATATGAAACGGTTCTTTATTTGGTTAAAAAATAATTAAATCATATATTAAATTTAAGCTAAAGAAATTAATGAAAAATAAAAATAAAAATATCCTTTTTTTAAATCTACAACGAACTCGATGGATGGCTATCACAAGGGTTGGCCAGATAAATTAATTTTGATTTAAAAATGTGATATAAGTCAAAAAAGGTTTACCTGCTTAAGATTTTTTTATTAAAACGACTTTATCCGATAAAACCTGTTTTGAAAATCCTTTGACACCTACGTAGGTATGTCATACATATGATGATATTATGACCTGTTATTCCCCGATGGCGTTTTTCAAAATAATATTTGTGTTAAATCATAATTAAAAAAAGATTTCTAAGTTTTTAGAAATAACCTGCAAATATAATTTTATTTATAGCATAGGTCGGCAAACGAGCAGACGGATTACCTGATTGTTAGCAATCGATGTCACCCATGGGCACTCGTAATACCAAAGCAGGTTTTATGAATAGGGGATTTGAAGATTGAGGATGAAGAGGAAAGGATTGCGCTTTCGGTAACCTCATTTGCACGGCGAAACACAATGTTAGTATTGCTTCACGGTGTTATTCTGTGAGGCCGTGGTATCACTCCGGTCGAGCCCATCCATTTGTGCCGAAGCCTGGGTCTCCCACACTTATCCACTCCCTTTTTTGCACATTACTTTGTCATATGTATCACATTATTCATAAATACAAGTCGCAGGGTATCCCTTTCGTAACACCCAGGGCTGGAAATGTTGTTTGATTCCCGGCTTGGGTTCGGGTACAAGGGAAATGGTGACACAAAAAATCGAACCTTAAGTGTCTCAAAGGGGGAGTTGCGGGGTAAGGGCAATGAGGCACCGCGACCTCGGACCGGAGCAGGAGAAGGAACAGGTCAGTAAGAGTCTGACACACCCTCCCTCCCGGCCCTGGGCGGGAGAAGTCATTTGATGATTTTCCCCTCTCAGGGGCCAGAGTGGCGGGGTAAGCGCAATGAGGCACCTCGGCCCAGAGCAGGAGAAGGAACAAAACCCCCACGGTTTAAGTCAGTAAGAGTCTGACACTCCGTCCCGCCCAAATTTTGTGGGCTAATAACAAAATTTACCCGTTGGAGTTGATTTATATAGGGAAGGACTGTAAGAAATATCATAAATGTGAATTACTTATGTGTTATGCGATTTTTGACACCAGACACAGAAGACATCGTAAGGAAACGCATAATTTCTAATTATAAGTTTGAAATCCTCAACCCGTCTTAAGCAAGTGTGGTGATTAATGTTTAAACCTTTTATCAGCATTGGACTTATAGACTGATGATGATGATGATGTGTGATTTATACTTAGACAAGTTAAGGTTAAATTGAATACTTCATTGATGCCCCCATTAAAGCCTTCTGAGCTTGAATATTTCTAAGTATGACTGCTAATTGCAAAAAGCAATTGTCCACTTGCACTTGTTGGCACTCTTTTAGCAACGAGATTATTTCAAAACTTTTATTAGATAACTCCATAATATTTTGGTAAGTATGCCATAACATATATTATAGTATAGTATGGATGAATAAAATTAAAACATTTAAATTATCTATACTAATATTATAAAGAGGTAAAATTTGTATGTTTGTAAGTTTGTACTTAGAGGGTAATCTTTGGAACCACTGATCGGATTGCCAAAATTCTTTCACTGCTAGATAGCTGCAATTTTCCTGAGTGCTATAGATTATAAAAGATCACGCTACGATCAAATGGGGCCGATCAGTGCGTGAAACCGCGTAAGAGTAGCTAGTATAGAATAAAATTATTTATTTTACATAAGGAGATTACCGACAAAACTCTGACTTAAGTATTAATTGAATTGTGTTCCAACAAATATGAACCTAGCTGACACAGGTCCACGCGGGTTTAGCACGTCACGACTGCATTCTGCTATTTTGTAGTGGGGAGGCAGCCGCACTTCCTACACAAAACAGACATGCATTCGCCTATACAACCACGAAATATAAACGCTAACAGGCTTGCAGGAAATTAAACACAACGTTTGTCAACACAACATGGCTAATATTGCCATAATGTTATCTAATTATTAATTTATTTTCTTTATTAAATGACAATGTAGCTCTCGGGATCTTCCGCACTACATCCGACCATGCTCATACGACTATAAGTAAACTAAGATATGATAAAAAAAATTATGTACCTATCTAAGTATCAAATTCAAATTAAAATTCAAAAGTGTATATTTACAAGAATTACATTGCTTATAAGGAAAGGTCTAATATCCTAAAAATCACTATATTCAGCCTGCAATACTAAAGTCACTGTATCGTCAGAAGCTTCTTTTATATTGATACGATGACGATATGGATGGCATATGGATTCCATGATGCTAAGCAATCTGCCTTACCCCATACACACCCGTGACACCAGAGGCGTTGCGTGCCTTTTGGGGTCAGGATTTTGGAGATTTAAGGATTAGGGAGGGATGGGCCTCCGGTAAACCATACTCCCACAGTGCAACAATGCTGTGATTGCTTTACACCGCTTTTCTGTGA